GGAGGCAGGGAAGCCAGGAGGCAGGGAGGCCGGGAGGCAGGGAAGCCAGGAGGCAGGGAGGCCAGGAGGCAGGGAGGCCGGGAGGCAGGGAGGCCAGGAGGCAGGGAGGCCGGGAGGCAGGGAGGCCAGGAGGCAGGGAGGCCGGGAGGCAGGAAGGCCAGGAGGCCCAGAGGAGCTGGTGGTCGTCTCCAGGGTCTCCGGGGCCCCTTAGGTTGAGGATGCCTCTCCCATGTCCCATTCCAGCAAGGGAAGGATCCATCCTCCTAAATGCCCGCCAAGGGGAGAGCCGACAGCTCCTTGGAAAGCCTTTCCAACACAGCCCAATGGGCAGGAAGTTCTAATTTTAGGTCTGACATAAATTATTCTTGCTGTGATATGCAGTCTATTTACAGATAAAATACTTTATCTTCGTGAACTTTCACTTCCTTATTCAGAGCTGTAGCCAGGAAGCCTAAAGGAGTCTTTTGAGTTCCTCTCCCTCCTCACCCCGGCTGCACTGGGTTTACCAGGAGAGCTTCGAACAATCCAGAGGCCTGGGTCTTGCCCCAGAAGCTCTGGGTGTGGCCCAGGGTGGGGACTTTATAAGCTTCCCACGGACTCTCGTGTAGTCAGGGCTGAGAACCTCAGAGTTCTCGGGGGACAGGAGAGCTGAGCCCGGAAAGCCTGGAGCTGCCGAACGCTGTTTGGCCGGGGGAGTGGTTCCCAGGCACCTGCACTTGGTGGGAGAAGCTGACCTGTGCCTTTTGTTGCAGGTTAAGTTGGGTCCAATCGGCCCCTGATGTCTGAGCTCCGTGGGTGCAGAGGGCAGCCTGAACATTAGAATCATGGGACCCAACGCAGGACTGTCCCTGTCCCATCACCAGCCTACCTCCCTCCTGGCCGACCGCTGGGAGATGCCACAGCATTACCTTCACTGCCTGTCTGCGGGCAGCACGTGGGCCCCGGGCACCACACAGCTGTCAGGACCCACCTGACATCCTACGTGAGCTCGGGCACAGCTCCTCCGTGGCCAGGCGCACGCTCCCCTGGCACCCACGTCTGCACATGGCGGGGCCCCCGGGAGAGAGTCTCTGACAGCCTCTCTCCCCAGTTTACAGGGCGCCGCTCCTCAGGGAACAGGAGAGGAGGCCCCACGGGGGTTCCCCAGGGTGCTGGGCCACGCGGCCTGATCTCAGTCTTCCTTCCCCTTGTGGTGTTTCTTTCTTGTTGAACATGGAGCCCTCTCCCCTCTCTGATTCCTGAGGGTCACACACTCGGCCGCAGGCATCACAGAGTCTGACTTGCCTTCTGCTCTGGGTCTGGCTGAGCCCTAGGGTGAGAGAGTGGGTGGTGGGGGCGCCCCGTCCAGGGACCTTCCCCTTCTCTCTCCCTCGGAGGCACCGCCAGTTCTGGGATGTCAGCCAGCTGGTCAGGAATGGCCATGCAATGAGCACAGGCCTGTAAGCCCACAGCCCCGAGGGGAGAAAGGCCTGCGCCTTTAAGAAGTGCAATAAACGTGCCTTCCTTTCTGTTTCTGGGTGTCTCTCCCTGGCGGTGGGTGAGGCAGTGGGAGGCCGCAGGTGCGCCTGGCATCCCAGCAGGCACGTGGGGATCCGTGAGGAGAAGGACTGGGGAATGGAGGCAGGCCCGGTCACTTCCCGATTCCTGCCTTTCCCCTAAACGGGCCCTAATTTCAGGGAAAAGCCCATGGAAAGTGGCCTCCCATTCCTCCCTTCTCCCTCCCCCTGTCCGCTGGGAAGCTGTATAAGGGGCCTGGAACTTGGGGAGGAAAAAAGGCCTTTTTTAAACCTC